GGCCTGGGCCACGTCTGCTCTTTCTTCCAGCTCCGAACCTGGGAAAAGCAGAGCTGGGGATCAGGCCTTCCCTGCCAGGTTCGGATGGCGCTGTGGGGTGGCTCTGCCCTCTCCCACCAAAGCCGCAGCACCGACCTTCCTCCTCGCTCCTTCCAACGGCTCTAGACCAGCCCTCCCCTCCCCGTGCCTGGCACAGCCCCGGTTATCACCTCGGAGGGCTGGGAGAGCCAAGCACAGCGTCCCATGGCCCTGGGGCTGGGAGAGCCAAGCACGGCATCCCACGGCCCCGGGAGGTGCTGGGTGACTCACATTTCCACAGCAAGAAAGCGCTGGGATGACAGAGGAGTGATGGATGGGAAAGGAGGGTTTTTAAGACTTTATTTGGAAAGCTACACAAAAGGGCTTTGCTGATTAAAAAACAAACCCCAGCTTTAAAAAAATAAACCAACGAACCCAAAGACATATGAACAAGCCAACCCCGCTTCCAGATGAGCCACTGCCAGAGCAACTCAATCTCTGGTTCCTGGCCCAAAGCAGGCAGCGCCCACAGCCTCGTCCCTCCCGGGCACAAACTGACGCCCCAGCAAGCAGCGGGGAGGCAACCGGGGGAAGCGGCCGCAGTGAGCTTGTGCTGCCACACTAACTGCTGCCAGAGGTGCTCCTTGCCCCCGCTGCAGCAGGGACAGCCCCATCCTGCCCCCCTCCCAAGCAGGAGGGTCGAGAAAGTCCTGCCGCCTTCTGCCTCCCAAATTGCGGGGCCACTTGCATGCCTGTGGGTGACGAGGAGGAGGTGGTGGGGTCAGAGCACAGGGGACAGGGAGCAAGTGCTGGTTTGAGATGCACAAAATGACTCCCCGCTTCTAAGCTGGGCCTAACTGGTGTGTACTGGTCAGCTTCCAGCCCAGTGGCACAGGAAAATGACAGTGCTGCGGGGTCCCTGCCTGCAGAGGCAGCTGCCAGGGGCCCTGCCACATTTTCCAGGCTCACTCTGCAGAAATGAGGGACAAAGCGACGCTTCTTCCCCGCACTGCAAGGCCATGGGAGCCGCAGTGCACGGGGGACTCTGTGCGTAGCTCCGCCATGGCCGCCACACACCCAGGAGGCATCGGTGTGGGGCTTTGCTCCACACATAAAGGGAAGCCCCAAGTGTCGCTGCAGGGCAGGCTCCGTTAGGAATGGGTTTAAGGCTTGCTTTTGTTTTCCAGAGCGAGGGAAAGGGAAGCTCCCCTTCCGCTGCCAGCACTCTTTCTCCTTGTTTCTGAGCCACTTCCAACACCGTCTGCCGCAGGACCCAACGGCGATGGTCCCTGGTGGCTCAGGAAGTCTCTGCCGCCCGTGCTGGGGAAGGACGTACCGAGTGGGAGGGAGGGACGTGGCCCAAACCCCCGGCTAGCAGGTCTGGTGCTCCCTGTCCTCCGAGAGTAGCTCGTCCGTCGCCTCCCGGCCAAGGTACCCTGCTCCAGCGGGGGTGGCCTCGTGGAAGCTTGCGGCTCTGCCGCTGCTGGGAAGTTTGGGGTGGGTGGAGGTCCAGGAGTCCTCCTCCCCCTGGGCAGGCTCCGTGTGCTCACACTCCATCTCGACATCCTCAATGTCCTTCTCCCGGTAGAGCGGGACAGACTCCATCTCCAGGCTGCTCTCCAGGGCTCGGTGCTTCCCTCCCTGCTGGTACCATCTGCAGGCGGTGGAGCCGTTGCAGGTCAGGTCAAGCCCCACGTTGTTCCTGGTCAGGCAAACCTCCAGCGTGTAGTAGAAAGTCCAGAACACGGCAAAGCATCCCAACAGCAGGAGGGTCTGCAGAGGAGGAAAGCCCTGAAGAAACAAAGCCCACAGCCACCCCAGAGCCCTGCCCTGCTGCCCAGCGGAGAGGGCAGATCGCCGGGAGGATCAGCCACACCAGCTCCGCTCCTCCAGTCCCTCCTGCGCGTTGGCCAGCCGGCAGTCTCCCCGGCCCGCAGGCAGGCTCACCTTGAGGGTGTTGGCTGTGATTGTGTAGCGCTGCTCCTCAGGGATCTCCAGCCCCGGAGGGCAGGGCAGGGAGAAGTCACTGCTCAGGTACTGCCCGCTCATGGCTTCCTCCAGCAGCCTGGGGGACAGAGGCAACCCGTGAGGGTCCCACAGGCAGGGCCGCTCCCAAGAGGGGCCCCCACAGCCCCCAAGG